CACCAGGAAGCAACCGGGTCTTGCAAAGCTGCAAATGCAGGACTCTGGCAGTTGGGGGCAGGAGCTTCGGGTCTCTGCGCTGGCTGGCTTGACTACTGGCTGACTGGTGTAGCAGCCTGGGATCATGCTTGCTCAGGGGTTCCTGCCACGGAGGTGAAGCGGAGGGGTGAGAACAGGGTAGGGCCTTTGGAGGACATGATTGGGGCCAAGTTCCTCTAGGCTGAGCTGAGCCTGACAGGACTTGGGAGGGGTCAGGATAAGAACATTGTGTCCCTGTATTTCACAGGAGGAACACCGCTCCTCCCTGCAGGATATCAGAGCCCAGGTGGCAGCACCAGCCTTTGTATCTGCTCTTGGCTTCCTCATCCAACTGAGGCTGGAGGGCTAGGCCCTCCCTTGTGAACCAAAGCAGTGAAGTTCCAGAGCCAGCAGAGCAGGACAGGAGCCTCCTGAAGTACTTGAGCTCCAAGTTTGGTGCTCCTCCTACAGCCAAGACCTGAAGCTCCCCTAAACTAAAAGCCCTGCCTAAACCAGCTGGGATGCCCCACTTGCTCTATGGTGCTTAGACACATCTTGGGTAGGCCCAGGAGACTTTTAAGTGCTGTGAAGGCTAGTCAGCTGAGATCCTGGCCGGGCTGCACAGCAGTAGCCCTTTAAAAAGTGGGAAGATGTGACCCCTTGGTCCCTAAAAGGCCTGTGTCTGGGGTCCCACACAGCTCTGTACCCAAGCTCCTGCCTCTTACCTAGCCCCTACCCCTTGACAGGCACCAGGATCATCTACGGCCGAAAGTTCCTGCTGGAGTGCAAGAACTCACCCATTGCCCAGACGCCCTCCAGCTGCCTCCCTCAGATTCCGGGGGTCACAACTCCTCCGAGAGCCCCACCCTCCAGGCTCGAGGAGTGGAAGGAGTGGAAGGAGACAGAGGAAGAGATACCTGGTAAGGAAAGCAGACCCTAAAATTAAAAAATGGCTTTGAGCCCAAATGCCCCAGTTAAGTAGAGTGGGGGTTCGATTCTGAGAGGGGCTCCTTCACTGACACTGAACCTGCAGACCCCAGCCCAGCAACCAGTCCTCCTGCCTTTTCTCTCTCCAGATGACGCGCAGTTTGAAATGGACGTCTAATCCAGTGAAGGTGACCCTGTGTGTGGAGTAAGAGGAATCCCTCACGCTGCTGCTGCTACCTCCTTTTTCTGGGGTATCCAAAGGCCAGCTGGCCTCATCTAATCCAGAAGGGGGTGACATGGTGGTTCTGGGCCTCCCTTAGCTCTGAGGCAGCTAGACCGGGGATAGGAATGGGCAACTTGCCAAGCCCTTAGTTCTGCTACTCTTTGGTCTGTAGGCACTCCTCCCAACCCCTGGCCCTTGGCTCAGGCTGAGGCTGGGGCTGGGGGATGGAGAATGTCACTGTCTGACTGCTTAGTAAACATTCAAAGAAATGCCTTGGCTCCAGTGTTCTCCTCAATGCTGATCTTCCCATCTCAGCCATAAAGCTAAGGGTCCCAGCAAACCTGGTTAGGATCAGAGGTCCCAGGTTCCTTCCCAGCTCCCACTGGGCCCACTTCCAGCAGCACTTAGAGCCTGAGGCAGGCTTTGGGGGCAGGCCATAGGAGCTGTCAAACCATAAACAGCAGTAGCCTGACACCTGCCAAGGGCTGTTCCAGCCTTTCCAGGAAGCAGCCTTCCTGGTATCAGGCCTCTCTACCAGTCCCTCCTTAGCTTTTCCAAAGCAGGAGAAAAGAGGCACTGCCCCAGCCTATAGCCTTCTTTTGTCTCTCCCCATACCTTTTCTGCCTCCCACCTGTAAGTACCAACCATATTCCAACACTGGAAACCTGTACTCTCCCTTTTCACAGCATGATATGAGCCTCCTGGCCCCTTCCACCTGGTTCTGTTGTCCTCAAAGCGTTAGAAGACCTTAGGACCCAAACAGAGGCAGAAGCTTATTTGGTGAGTCAGATAAAGAGTCATAATCCTACTCTCCCCATCCCCTGAAAAAAAAAATCATGATCCCGTATGTCAGCAATCTGGTCTTTTTCACCTTCAATTTATACAGCTAGGTTCTAATCTCTGTAGCACTTGCATACCTCAAGGGTGATGCAATGCAAATAGGTTAGTCTCCTTTTTTTGAGGGAAAAAAATCTCCCCATGCTATTTGAGCCTCTGTTCCCATACTGAAACAAATCATCCAAACATAGGGTTACTCAGCCCAGCAAGGGATGCATGTTTCTGTCTAATTTGGGGGAAAGTGGCAGGCAGTAATCTGCTTACTCCTAGCAAGGCCATTCATGATGAACAGAGGAAGAACAGAGGTGTGCATGGTGCACAGCGAGCAGGGCAGTTAAGGACACCAGAGGGAACCAGTCTGGCATAGGAAGGGCTCATCTCTCCTACCCAGGTCCCACCACATTGAGATGTTTTATTGAAATGCATATGGTATGGGTAACAAGTGGCCTCCCTGTGATCCAGGAGGGACCTCTTCCCCCAGAGATGGGTCAGGCCAAACACCCCAATGGGGCAGACAGTCTCCCAAGTGGTAAAAGGGAGCCAAGTTAGGGAAGGCCTCCCATGCCAAGGCATAAGAGATGGTGTGAGATGAGGCTGGGGAACCCATAGGATTAAGGATCATGTTGGATGCCTGGCACGGTCTGGTTCTGCTCATCTGTGGCTACAGATTTCTCTTCATTGGCCTCCTCCTCTGAAGACAGACTCCTCTTTTCCGCAATTAATCTTTTAACTCCCACCATCCACTGACTGACCTCAGTCACATGGTCAACCATGAGTGAGCGGTGGATGTCATCTGCTGCATCCCACTGGTGGCTTGAAAGCTCTGAGGAGAGAGAGGGGCTGAGCAAGAAACCTGGAGCAAAAAACATAGCTGCAACTCCTCCCCTCCCAACCAGTCAAAATCTCAGCACCTAGTCCAACTTGGACAACCATGGCAGGATGAGGGACTTATGCTATACCAAGGGACCCAGCCACACCTTGCACCAGCAGAGCCATCCTCTTCTTTACAGGCATTGACAGCTTCCCTCCAGCCCACTGTTCCTGCAGCAGAGCCAGGCGTCGGCTGATGTCATCACATACCTGCTTCTGAGAGACAGAAGCCCCCTCCAAGTCAGTGCTGCCAGCCCAACAGGGGCAGGGAAAGGAGCACCACATAGGAAGCACCTGCTTTGTCTGGCCCAGGAACTTTACACTCTAATCTTAGAGTTATGGTTCTTTACGCAAAGATTAGAGGCCCCACTAAGAATCTGATGAAATCTATGGATCTCCTCTCAAGAAAAATGCACGTATGGCTAGAATTTTTAAATTTCTGGAGTTTCTCATATGCTCAGAAATTAATTCTATAGTGCTGCTTTACAAATAAGGAAACTAAGGACCAAAGAGGTGAAGATCACTCTGCTACTTTTTTTTTTTATAAACTTATTTATTTTTGGCTGCATTGGGTCTTCGTTGCTGTGCACGGGCTTCTCATTGTGGTGGCTTCTCTTGTTGTGGAGCACGGGCTATAGAGCACAGGCTCAGTAGTTGTGGTGCATGGGCTTAGTTGCTCTGCAGCATGTGGGATCTTCCTGGACCAGGGCTTGAACCCATGTCCCCTGCATTGGCAGGCGGATTCTTAACCACTGCGCCATCAGGGAAGCCCCTCTACTACTTTCCTTTAAGACTCCTCAGATCCCTTGCCTCCAGAGAACTTAGGAAACATTATCAGTAAAAAAAAAAGGGGTTGTTGTTGTTGGGGTTTTTTTCCCCTCCCTAAGCATAATATCAGCAGGGTCTATTCTCAATGGCCTAGAGGTACGTAAATCAGGCTGTTATTGTCACTAATGGGAGTTGAATTCAATTCTTGTTCCTATAAGCCTCTTCTGAGGCTTGTGAACCCTCCTAAATCCTGTGTTCATTCTTCTAGGAAGTCCTTAGCAAATTCTGAAGGGGTTCATAACTCAGAAAGGATTAAGAGCCATTGCTCATAGGGTCAGAGGGTCTACCTTTGAGAGTCATACCTGCGTCTGGCTGTTGATGGGAGCTTTCCCACTTACCTTTGTGTGGCCACGGCAATCCTCCAATGCCCGTTCCAAAGGTCTCAGTACGTCTTCCAGCAGAATCTCAGACTCAACGACTGGGAAATTTGTGGGCTCCATGCTGGAGGGAGGACAACTCCCCACAAATGGGGGTCTGGAAGCCTTACTTGACAGAGGTGGAGGCCCCACTGGGGGGGCCCCAGGAGATGTCTCTGAGGTGGGGACTGAAAAGGTAAAGCAAGATCAAGCAAACATGGCTTAAACAGGTACAAAGAAATAAAATGGATGATGTGATAAAGAGGAATAGTAGAGGGACCTACCTAGCCTGAGTGTTCAAGGAAGGCCTTATAAGGTGATATCTAAGTTTATCCCAGCTCACACACTATGTGACATATGGCAAATTACCTTTAACCTCTGAGCCTGGGTCCCTTTTCTGTAAAATGGGGATATTATAGGAATAGTACTTATTTCACAGGATTGTAATGATGATTAAGTAAGAATATAGGTACAGCTGCTACATTAGTGTGTAGCAAAAAGTGCTCACAAAGTTAAGAACCTGTATGAGATAGATGCAGCCATAAAGAGTTGAAGGAACCATGTACTAGGGCAGAGGTAAGGGAAGGGCCCAAGAGGTGGAAAAGTCCTGACTTGTTCAAGGAACAGAAACAAGGCCTATGTGGCTGGAAATGATTAACACTGAAGAAAGTAGTATGAGCTTTCACTGGAGAGGTAAGCAGGGGTCCAGACCCTGCAGGGCTTTGGAGGAGTTTAATCTTGAGCCATTACTCCATTAATGGTAACAGGAAGCCACTGCATGTTTACAAAAGCAGGGACTGCTATCACTAAACTTGTTTTTTTGACGTTCACTCTGTATGGTCTGTGAAAAGTTGATGAGAAATAGGTAGAGGAGGGCAGATTAACAATAGTCCAGGAAAGAGAATGCTGGCATGGACTAGAGTGAAAGAGTAGATGAGGGGAAATGGAGTGGTCTGAGATATATTTAGGAGGAGGTAGAACAGATCTTGATGGAACAGGGGGTGAAGGAGAGAGAAGCCAAGGATGACTCTTGGTTTCTGACTTTAATGATGGGATGGTGGAATCACTATGGAAAATGAGAAAACTGGAGGAGAAAAGTCAAAAATTACTTTTAGGTATCAACATCCACATGGATGATAATTCATCTAATTTGGTGTGTCAACTTGACCTTCTCACCTCCAATAACCATTTTTTCTACCCTACCTCAGCCTCCCATCCCCCTCTGCCTTGTTCTCAGCAACAATGACCACCCCTCCTACCCTTCCAGCTCAGCTACTCAGATTTTTGAGGTGCATTAAACTCACTCCCTTTAAATTCATAGCTACAGATTTTAAAAGGCATCCAACACTGCCTGGAAATCATATACTCTGCCTCATTTTTCCACTCTTCAGAACAACTATTTTCACATCTTATCTCCTCTAAACTTTTCTACCTTCTTTTATTTTCCTTTCCCTGCTGTCTCTGTACTTCTGACCCTACCTCATATTTCACTGAGAAAATAAAGGTCATTGAACAGGAACACTCTCATCTTCTCACCACCAGTTCTACTAACCCACTTGTATCTGTGGCTGCTTTCCTTCCTCCTCTAATAGATGAAAGGTTCCTGTTCCTATCAGAGGCCATCTCTCCAGCTGTACTCTGCATCCCCGCCTCTCTTGCCTTCTCTAGGCTTCCCTCCTGCAGTTATCCCTTTTCTCCTGTGCCATCAGTCCTCCCTCTCTACTAAAACATCCCATCAGCATACAGAACCCTCCCTTACCTCACGCTGCATCCTCAGGCACTGCCCTATTTCTCATCTCTGCTTTACAGGAGAATTTCTTCAGTGAGCTGACTACAGTTACTCTCTCTACTTTTCACATTCTCTCCTCAGCCCATTCCTGC